ACGAGTACGCAGCGATGGGGATGAGGGGGTGGTCGTACCGCACGGGCGAGGATGGGGATGAGGAGGGGGTGCACCCGTTTGTTGGTGGTGGCGGGGAGAGAGAACATACGTACGGAGAGAACACGGTGTCGACGGCTGCGCACCATGCGAGCGCTGTCACGCTCAGTGCGGGCCTCGGCGGGCGAGGCGCGAGGAGGGAAGTGAGCCTGAGCGGGGCGGAGTACGATCCTGACAGGCCGCTGCAGGCGATGATTGCGGGTGTGAACGGCAAGCAGCAGCATAGTATGTTGGAAGGGGAGTCGAAACATCAGGTGCGCTTTTTCTTAACATGTTGGATGAATCTCATTTTTTTGGGGTCTTTTTTTGGTGCTTTTTGCAATTGGGGATGGTATGTAGATGAGGACGTACGACCCTATCGTCGTGGATAACACTGCGGAGCTGGATAGGATCCTCGAGTCGGGACATGCGATGAACCATCCCGCCCTTGATCACCCTGCCCCGAAGCACCCTGCCCACGCCCTTTCTCCCCACCCCGCCTTGAACCCCGCCTCTCTAAACCACCCCGCCCACTCCCAAGCACAAGCCCAGGCCCAAGCCAACCAGTCCCTGCGCTCCCGCTCCTTCCGGCTCTCCTCGCCGCTCTCCTCTGGAACCACCTCTGCCTCCGGGTCCGGGTCCGGGTCTGACGGCGAGCAAGCCCCGCCCAACTCCAACCGTGGACATGCGGCCTCCCGCCCAAAGTTGACAGACCATCTACGACACGTATCCTTCTCGCCTAAACGACCGAGGAGCGCACAGGGAAACCATACGTTCAATTCGTTGGGGGCGTCTCCGAGAAGTAGGGTTGTGGAGGAGGCGAACGAAAAGGAGGGGTCGATGAACATGCCGACGCCTAGACCTGCGAGGAAGCAGAATTCGGGATTGTCGTATGTCTCGACGCCTGGGCTGCAGCACCAGCACCAACAGCAGCAGCAACAGCACCAGCAACAGCAGAACCAGCACCAGCACCAACAGCAAAAGCAGCAACAGCCAGAAGTAAGACTGCACCCCGCAACGCCCTCTACGACAGGCTCGAAGTTTACGAGGATGGCGCGGGGGATCCAAAGGGAGTTGGAGGCGGGGCAGCGGGAGATGAAGGAGAATAAGCATGTGGACAGAAATCCGTTTGATGATGATGATGAAGGAGGGGGAAAGCCGACGCCCCGAAAAAGCGCCCTGCGCTCCGGCGGTGGAGGAGGAGGAGGAGGAGGCGGAGACCTCTCCTCGCGCAGCCGCGTCTACCTACCGGACGTCACGGGCCTCACAGCCGCCGTCGAGTCGCCCCTCCGCCCTAGGTTGTCCTCTGCCTACCACCCTTATCCCGCTGGTGATACCCAAAAAGCAAAAGAGGCGGAAGAGAGACTGGTGAAGACGCTCAGCGCGGTACAAAGGCAGCTGGAAGAGCTGGAAGAGGAGAATGGGATTTCGAGGAGGAGGGTGAGGGAGTTGGAGGGTGAGTTGGAGGAGGCGAGGAGGGAGGTTGG